ATTTGCCCACGGCCTGATGGAAGTCTACAATCTGCCAGCCCCAGTGACTGACGGTATATGTCACAATGACTTGGCTGAAGTTGTGATATGTGACATGTTTCACCTGTGCGCTGTTTATAAAGTTATATTAGTTAATAATTTTAATGCCAAGTATAAGAATATTAAATCCGAAATGTGTGTTGAAGTTTAATTCTTGGGGTCCTGTGTCCTTTGGGGACAGACGACTGAAACTTACAGGACCCAAAGTCCTGTTACTTTGAAAGACCAGTCATGAAGATTGCACAGCCCTGGTAAATCAAAGTGATTGTCTTCCCAAGCCAAGATGAAATAATATTCCTCCGAGCTCTCCGAATCAACATTTCTTTGGCATGAGATAAACAGACGGCGGCGACTACGTCTGATGTTGATAGGACGCTGGGTATACCATCTCAGAGCTCAAATAGGGCATAGGGGTCCAGTTCTGTCTGATCAAGGGGCAGAGGTAGGTAATGCTGGTATCTGGTATACTCTGTGGCCCAGAAACCCTAGCAGAAGCCTGGTTCTTAGTAAGAAACTCATGGCATCTGTCTGTATCCTGCCGTAAAGGTGAGTGTCAATGGCAAGTAAGTCCGATATTCTGGAAGCCGTAGCAATTGCAAGTAGAAAATCCCTCTTAAGGATAATAATTTCAATGAAATTTGCAGCATAGGTGTAAGGAGACTTCCATAGATACTGCAGTTGTAGATATAAATCCCACTGAGGGAAGATTGTATAGGATACGAAAAAGTCCTTATCTGAAACGATCTAATCGGCTTGTTGAGCAAGCTGTTAAAACCACTGCTAGTTCTTGTATATCTCAAACAGAAGCGATAGCTGATCTGTAGCCCACTATAGTACTGTGTTTCAGTTTCTTGAGAACTCGAAGATAACAATTGTAGAGAGAGCCGTGAATCGTAATTCCCAGCAATGTGAAAAATGGAGGATCGAGTGCATGACAACAAATGAATAGTATCAAAGGTTTGTAGAAACAATTCCTCATTGGATTGTTCTGGAAGATTATTATCTCTAGAGAAGGGGTGAGATTGTTCTATAGCTGTCAAATGGTCTGACACATTCACTTGAGTGTGATTGGCATGAAAAAACGATGTCCAAATAGGAGTGTGCAAGCGCCCCTCGAGGGCTGACATGGCCACCATGGTATCTTGAGTAGTTCCCATTTAATCCTCAAAAGCTGGTTGAGGAAGCTACCCGATTCCCAAGTCAAGGCAATTGGCGTATGAAAAGATAACGAACTAGTACGCATGGTCTAATCGTATCTCCCTATGAGACACGTGAATATAGTGAATGTCAAAGTTTGGGATAATTTCGAAACCAGATGTGAGAAATCCCTATCAACTTTTGAAGTACTGGCGGGGGGAAAACCCATCCTATCAAGGATGACATGGGCTTGTCAATTGATATCCCTAGCCGAGTCTTAGTATGGGCAATATTGGGATGGAATTGTCCAGTCGCGTTGTGCAGTGAACGCAGACTTGCAAAGTCACGGAATAATTTCCCACATGGTGCCTAAAATTCTTACAGCGCATCCCCAATGGCGCGTCATATTACTAAAGAAAACCTACCGTCATAGAAAAGAATCAAGTTTAATGTGACATTGATTAAAACTCGTGATTCAACTTATTGTCGTCTGTCACACTCGACATCTAACAGCGCGATGTTTACGCTGTCCATTTTGAATACATTAGCTCTCGGCCAATCAGCGTCAGTCAGTCCCCAGTAAATACTATTTATCAATCATTCGATTGATAGTAGCTCACACATGCTCGCCAAGGATAGCAGAAAGTAGGTCGACCAAATGGCAGATGCGTATTAGCGTGTGGTAGGGAGATGGGTGTGATGAAAAAAGAAACTGATGACAGAATACACCTTCCAAGATCCGTTAGAATGTAGAGGGATAATAAGCGCTTGTTAGTAATAATAAATGAGCCTTATAACACGCCTTTTCCATGTACAAAGCACAGGGGCGTGTCACGCTTAGAAACAGCTTTAGAAAGACATATAGGTACATAGACCCTACCCTATATCCTATAGTACTAGGGTAGGGTCCACAGGGGCGTGTCACGCTTAGAAACAGCGTTAGAAAGACATTATAGGTATATAGACCCTACCCCAGTACATGTACTATAAAAAAGGAAAGGGATGTAACGACGGAACCACCCCCTCCTCAATCAAAGTTAGATTTCACCACGTAAACTATTTTTAAGGCCCCGTCGAGGCCTACGGATCGAAAGCGAGATGATTTCCCTACAAAATGAGCTATAAATGGTCACAATCGGATCATCATTTCAAACGTTATAAGCCACGACTCACCGAAAACAGCAACCTCCGCAATTCCAAGCCAAAATCATGGATCACCCAAGACAGCGAAAACTCACCTTTTAAATTCGTTTATTAATTCAAGCCACGTCTTTCTAACGCTGTTTCTAAGCGTGACACGCCCCTGTGGTACAAAGCACATGCTCAAAGTGTTGACATGTAACCTTGTAATACCCCGGATAATCCATGGTGCCAAGAAGCGCTAGAAAGTTGAAGAGTCGCATGGCCTATCCCACCGGGTACCCATTTTCCCTGGTGGGTAAATAAAGGCAAGTTGAATAAACCAAACGGTATATCGTCCGTGCCTCCCGTGGAGCGCGCAGCTGACTGTGCATTCTGGTAAAAATCGCACGTGCCGTCCGTTATCTGGTTCCTTTTACCTGTCCTGACCCGGTCACCGAGACCTGGTCCGACTACTGGGTCGTTCAGGTGCTACCTGAACTGCCCCCACCACGGTGGTCAGGAGATTAATTTGAACCGCGATCTCGAATTAGGAGTTGTGTTGCTAATTAATTCAGTAATAATAATAATAATAATAATGATAATACTGAAAATTATCGCGAAATCCAACCACAACGTGAGTGCAGTGAAAAGAAGTGTGTTTTAATATGTAATTTGAACGCAACCAAGATAGAGACAGTTTATAGCGAGGGGCAGTTCATTCCACAGTGATGGCGCACAAACACTGAAAGAACGCTTCCCATAAGAGGCCATGGCAGTCTATAAGAAGGAGTATTCAAAAAGAATTGCTTCAGATCGCAGTTGTCTGGTTTAAGGGGATAAGCAGTTCACTGAGCTAAGCCGGTGCCATTTAGACTCTTGTATGTGGTACAGAGTACTTAAACACCTGTACCGGGTGTTTGGAAGCCGTGACCGTAGGTAGATTTCAAGGTAAGTGGTGAATAGCTGAAGTAGCAGACGAAGTAATAAGCTCCGACATGAGCCGACATGGCCACCATTGTGTCTGGTTTAATCCCCGAGTAATCCTCAAAAACTGGAGGAAGCAGTTGCCCAACGCCCGCCGCAAACCAATTTATGTACGGCAATATATCAATCGACGAACGCGCTGCCTGATCTATGTCCTTCAAATCTCTTTGAGCCACAGGTATTTGTAAAACGTCAAACGAGGAGCCCGAGAAGTAAAATCTGTATCCAGATCAGGAATAGTCAAAGGAAACATGCGATCATGGATGACGTACGACTGCTGAAGAATAGTCGTGGGTAATGACTGGACATTGGAAACTTTGGAAAATGTTTCATTAAACGAATTCAAGGCTGAGCGGACTACTGTGGAATGCGGCAGGGATAAGTTGGGGGGTGTCTGAAGTGCTAGCAATCCGGAGGACCCCAGTTCAGCCGGTAAGTCTGAGTTCAAAGCCGTAGAAACCGGAGATACCAGACATGGGTTTAATTCATGGAGTAAGGCAACCTTAACCGTGAGCGGAAACGAAATCCACGGCCTCCGTGTCCATGGACGGAACGGTGAGAATGCCTTCATGGAGTGAAACTTGTGCATCTGTGAGCAGATAAAATCCGTGTGGATCGAGGATAATGTGGCGGATTAAGGTCAACGTACGGAAGCCCGGACGGGGGACGGTTCCGTGGTAGCGTCCGTAGCCGTGGAAACATTATGGTTATTATCAATGCCCGGTCCGGCAGACCTCGACGCCGTGGTATTGTCTGGGACGGCGATTTCATGAGATAACTGTCATGACTGTAGCGGAAGCCAGACGGGTAGTCCACAGCCGTGGTGCCCGACGGTTCCATAGTAACGGCGGTAGCGTCCGTAGCCGTGGAAACATTTTGATTATTATCAATGCCCGGTCCGGCAGACCTCGACACCGTGATCTTGTCTGGGACGGCGATTACAGGAGATAACTGACTGAGGCAACACCGTGGCTGGCCACAGGTCAACAGATTGTGATAGGGTAGCCGTGGAAGTACCGGCGACATTCCTACGCCAGTACGGGTATCAAGTTGTGAATTTTGATTCTCTTGGGAATGATGAATCGTTTCAGATCGTTTGAGGTCAACGTTTAGAAAATCTGTGGTGCTCCACTTAAGAGCCGAACAAAAAGAAGCACACAAATCATCCTTAGGGATGCTAACATATATGGAAAAAAACGTAGTCCAAGGCCTGAGAGGCAGGAGTAATATAATTCGTATAATTCCTCCTTTTTTGTGATCATATCTCGACTGAGTGGATCGTTGATAATGTTGACATTGCTTTACCTGGCAGAAGAACAGTAATTAACAAGCTTCAATATTGCCAAGAGCGGCGTATAACGAAAACGAACCTTTAACCTCAAAACGAACGATTACAGTTGGGTGTCCTTAAAAATGTGTCATGTTTGTTCATATAATCACGATGCACATTGAACAGTTGTTTTGTATTGGTTTAGCACTAACTGGTAGACCATCGATTGACGGACTGCCCTCAAGAGATACGCGATAACTCAGCCAGTTCAGTGACGATAAATCAGTGTTGTCGTTTCTGTCTCTGTTGGTGCCGAGTCCCATTGTAGCCTATAGTCAATGTTCCTTGATACTGGATCACACGTACAAGCCGCTATTCGATGCTGCTTGTTACCAGTGTATATAGACTAGTCACTATTGAGTACAGTACTGTTTGTTAATAGGAGACA